TTTCTAACAACAGTCCACAAATGTCTGGGAACTGAGACCAGTTGCGAGAGAGCGATGCTCAACAGTCCTATTTTTAAAGCAGTGCCACTTGAGTGCTCAAAGATCTCATCAACTAGTGATTTTTGGCCTGAGATTGTTCCAAATAAAGTCTTTGTAGATCTCCAAGGTAATACTGTGGTAAGGTCTAGATACAGGGAAAGGAAAGTATATAAAACCATATCTAGAGCTTTGATTGTCTCAATGAGAAGAGTAAACTGAACAAGAACATGAAAGAATTTCTCAGATGTAAGAACACAGCAGAGAATAAGCTGATAATTCTGACATCAGGCTAATTTTTAAAAACAGCTGCTTTTGGGATGACATACCTGACTTTCTTTGTTCGCACGTCTACAGCGGAGACAAACCGTGGCCGTCTGCACACAAGCGTCTTCGTGCCATTAAGGTTGTTTGTCTGCATCATGTCTGACGGGTAACAAAAAGAAACAAATAAAAGTTTAAACTTGTGCAATGATTATGACGCCACTTTTAAAACACAGAAATCAGAGATCAGATACAGTTTCCATATTCTTTGTTTACCCTCGAAACTGAGCGAATACGAGTGTGAACCAGCAGAAAACTCCACAACGTCTTTATTATTAGCCAGGAACAACTTCTCCAGCTTTGTGCTGTTGATGTCTGCTGCTTCATGTCCACCAATCTGCAAAGTAAGAACGGCAAGCAGGTCTTTAAACGCATAACAAACAGGAATTGCGATATAAACAATAAATAGCTGGGAAGCAAAAGAATATTGTCTAAAGAGCTTGTAATATTATAAAGGTCTCAAGGTAGAAATTCCCAAGTTAGCATCGCCACAATTATGAAAACAGTAACATTTGATTTGGCAGAGTCGTCATGCTGGACGTCCTTCCTCACCGAGCTCATTTATGTGGCGCCCATCTGGCATGGCTTTGGACCTTTGAACCCCTGACACTAGATTTGTGTTTTGGTATCAAACTAGGGATCTTTTGCATGTGTTAACGACCACACCTGGAGCCTTAAGAGTTTTAAAATTTGATCTTAGGTTGCAGACATTTTATATGAAAATGGAAGAAAAGTAAAGCTGTAGAGTATTCATTTGGTTGGTAGCATGTAATTCTTCCTCTTTCCTATAAATCAAAGGTAAGTGACTGCTTATTTTAGTATTAAAAATCTCAACAGGTTTTTAATTCAGAATAGAGTTGATGAAGGTGCTTATTTCAGTTTTATCCTCAAAAATTCAATGCTTGAATTCTTTTGCTTGAAATGAGAGGAATAAACTTGGTAGGTAAAAGATTAAAGATTAGGAGATGAGCTGTAAATAACAGAATAGAGCAAGTAAAACATTAACCATGAAACAAATAAATCAGGATATAAAGAAGGCCAAAATAAAAAAAATTAAAAAGCACGCTGGGCCACAGCCAGTGTAACTCAAACTGCTGAGAAACATCATGATCTTAATTTATTTTAAGAGTAAATCTCTGCCAGCTTCACTTCTTTCTCCTTTGTGTGCATCATTTATTGCAGTTTACATGTAGTATTAACTGCAGCAGTAGGTGCCATTGATAATGTGACTGAGACAGATGTACAGTGGCACAGATCAGCTCCACCTGCTCTTCATGCTGCAGCACGCCGGATATAAAACTCTGACCTGCTGCAGCTATGTTTCCATGTTTGTTCACGGTTTCACAAACATATCAGTCAGGAACTACTTCACCATTACACCCCTCCTAAGACGTGGAGTTACTCATGGCAAAGACTTTAACCTTTGGTTTGTTAAAAAGATCAGAGAGTGTAAGCTCTGAATGGCTGCAACGTCAAAATTAAATGGTAGTGGAAAATTATTTACTTTAACACAGCTTCCATAAAACAATCTACTATAACAAACACAGTGTCAGAGAGTGTACCTCCCTCCAACAGGCCAGAGCTAAACTAAAACTTAGGTGAGTAATGATGTTTGGACTACAAGATGATGTCAGTCTGTTTTGTTGTCATTAGGGCTGCACAATTAATCGTTAGAAAATCGCGATCTCGATTCATACTTATGTGCGATCTCATTTCCAAATGACAACGATTAAAAAAAAAAAAAAGAAGAAAAAAAGA